ATTGTGATGTATCTGTTATGAGTTGGTCTTTTTTTTTTTTTGTTTTTCAGTGTTTAGTGTTTCTTCTTGTTCTAGTGTGTTTTGTTCATTCTTGACTTCTCCTGCTGTGTGTTCCCTCCAGTGTGATTGCCCTGATTGTCTTCACCTGTGTCTTGTTAGTCTCACCTGTGTTTGATGACCCTATCTATTTAGTTTCTGTGTTTCTTCCCTCCTGTGTCAGTTCATTGCATGTTGTATGTGTTTTTAATGGAACTCGTGGAGGCCAGAGAAGAAGGACTGGAGGCCACGGGGCCCGTCGTCCTCTCCTTCCTCCACTGCCCAGCACCCCAGAGTCTCTGCCTCAGCCCAGGCATCAACTCCGGCCTCAGCTTCCCTGTGTTTCTGTCCCTGTACCAGTTCCGGCAGAGTGCCGTCTGACTCCTGTGTCTGCGTGGGAGGTTCTGCCCACTCCTAGGACTCCTGTGTCTCTGTGGGAGGTTCTGCCCACTCCTGTTTCCTGGTTGGAGGTCCTGCCCACTCTCGTGTCTCCATGGGAGGCCCCGCCCACTCCCGTGTCTCTGTGGGAGGTCCTGCCAACTCCTGTCAGTGATTCAGTCAGTCAGTCAGTCAGTCAGTCAGTCAGTGAGTCAGTCAGTCAGTCAGTCAGTCAGTGAGTCAGTCAGTCAGTCAGTCAGTCAGTGAGTCAGTCAGTCAGTCAGTGAGTCAGTCAGTCAGTCAGTCAGTCAGTGAGTCAGTCAGTCAGTCAGTGAGTCGGTGAGTCAGTCAGTCAGTCAGTCAGTCAGTCAGTCAGTGAGTCAGTCAGTCAGTCAGTGATTCAGTCAGTCAGTCAGTCAGTGATTCAGTCAGTCAGTCAGTCAGTCAGTGATTCAGTCAGTCAGTCAGTCAGTGATTCAGTCAGTCAGTCAGTTAGTCAGTGATTCAGTCAGTGATTCAGTCAGTGATTCAGTCAGTCAGTCAGTCAGTGATTCAGTCAGTCAGTCAGTCAGTGATTCAGTCAGTCAGTCAGTCAGTCAGTGATTCAGTCAGTCAGTCAGTAATTCAGTCAGTGATTCAGTCAGTCAGTCAGTGAGTCAGTCAGTCAGTCAGTCAGTCAGTCAGTCAGTCAGTGATTCAGTCAGTCAGTCAGTCAGTGAGTCAGTCAGTCAGTCAGTCAGTCAGTGATTCAGTCAGTCAGTCAGTCAGTGATTCAGTCAGTCAGTGATTCAGACAGTCAGTCAGTTAGTCAGTGATTCAGTCAGTCAGTCAGTCAGTCAGTAATTCAGTCAGTGATTCAGTCAGTCAGTCAGTCAGTCAGTCAGTCAGTGATTCATGCAGTCAGTCAGTCAGTCAGTCAGTCAGTGATTCAGTCAGTCAGTCAGTGATTCATGCAGTCAGTCAGTCAGTCAGTCAGTGATTCAGTCAGTGAGTCAGTCAGTCAGTCAGTGATTCAGTCAGTCAGTCAGTGATTCATGCAGTCAGTCAGTTAGTCAGTGATTCAGTCAGTCAGTCAGTCAGTGATTCAGTCAGTCAGTCAGTCAGTGATTCATGCAGTCAGTCAGTTAGTCAGTGATTCAGTCAGTCAGTCAGTCAGTGAGTCAGTGAGTCAGTGAGTCAGTGATTCAGTCAGTGATTCAGTCAGTCAGTCAGTGATTCAGTCAGTCAGTCAGTCAGTCAGTGATTCAGTCAGTGATTCAGTCAGTGAGTCAGTGAGTGAGTCAGTCAGTCAGTCAGTCAGTCAGTCAGTGAGTCAGTGATTCAGTCAGTCAGTCAGTCAGTCAGTCAGTTAGTTAGTCAGTGATTCAGTCAGTCAGTCAGTCAGTCAGTTAGTGATTCAGTCAGTCAGTCAGTGAGTCAGTGAGTGAGTCAGTCAGTCAGTCAGTCAGTGAGTCAGTGATTCAGTCAGTCAGTGAGTCAGTGATTCAGTCAGTCAGTCAGTCAGTCAGTCAGTTAGTCAGTGATTCAGTCAGTCAGTCAGTCAGTCAGTCAGTCAGTGAGTCAGTCAGTCAGTGATTCAGTCAGTCAGTCAGTCAGTGAGTCAGTGATTCAGTCAGTCAGTGATTCAGTGATTCAGTCAGTCAGTCAGTCAGTCAGTCAGTGATTCATGCAGTCAGTCAGTTAGTCAGTGATTCAGTCAGTCAGTCAGTCAGTGATTCAGTCAGTCAGTCAGTCAGTGATTCATGCAGTCAGTCAGTTAGTCAGTGATTCAGTCAGTCAGTCAGTCAGTGAGTCAGTGAGTCAGTGAGTCAGTGATTCAGTCAGTGATTCAGTCAGTCAGTCAGTGATTCAGTCAGTCAGTCAGTCAGTCAGTGATTCAGTCAGTGATTCAGTCAGTGAGTCAGTGAGTGAGTCAGTCAGTCAGTCAGTCAGTCAGTCAGTGAGTCAGTGATTCAGTCAGTCAGTCAGTCAGTCAGTCAGTTAGTTAGTCAGTGATTCAGTCAGTCAGTCAGTCAGTCAGTTAGTGATTCAGTCAGTCAGTCAGTGAGTCAGTGAGTGAGTCAGTCAGTCAGTCAGTCAGTGAGTCAGTGATTCAGTCAGTCAGTGAGTCAGTGATTCAGTCAGTCAGTCAGTCAGTCAGTCAGTTAGTCAGTGATTCAGTCAGTCAGTCAGTCAGTCAGTCAGTCAGTGAGTCAGTCAGTCAGTGATTCAGTCAGTCAGTCAGTCAGTGAGTCAGTGATTCAGTCAGTCAGTGATTCAGTGATTCAGTCAGTCAGTCAGTCAGTGAGTCAGTGATTCAGTCAGTCAGTCAGTCAGTCAGTCAGTGAGTCAGTGATTCAGTCAGTCAGTCAGTCAGTGAGTCAGTCAGTCAGTGATTCAGTCAGTCAGTCAGTCAGTGAGTCAGTGATTCAGTCAGTCAGTGATTCAGTGAGTGAGTCAGTAAGTCAGTGAGTCAGTGATTCAGTCAGTCAGTGAGTCAGTGATTCAGTCAGTCAGTGAGTCAGTGATTCAGTCAGTCAGTCAGTCAGTCAGTCAGTCAGTCAGTGATTCAGTCAGTCAGTCAGTCAGTCAGTCAGTCAGTGAGTCAGTGATTCAGCCAGTCAGTCAGTCAGTGATTCAGTCAGTCAGTGATTCAGTCAGTCAGTCAGTCAGTGAGTCAACAAGCTTTTAATGTATGATTGTGATGTATCTGTTATGAGTTGGTCTTTTTTTTTTTTGTTGTTTTTCAGTGTTTAGTGTTTCTTCTTGTTCTAGTGTGTTTTGTTCATTCTTGACTTCTCCTGCCTGTGTGTTTCCCTCCAGTGTGATTGCCCTGATTGTCTTCACCTGTGTCTTGTTAGTCTCACCTGTGTTTGATGACCCCTGTGTCTATTTAGTTTCTGTGTTTCTTCCCTCCTGTGTCAGTTCATTGCATGTTGTATGTGTTTTTAATGGAACTCGTGGAGGCCAGAGAAGAAGGACTGGAGGCCACGGGGCCCGTCGTCCTCTCCTTCCTCCACTGCCCAGCACCCCAGAGTCTCTGCCTCAGCCCAGGCATCAACTCCGGCCTCAGCTTCCCTGTGTTTCTGTCCCTGTACCAGTTCCGGCAGAGTGCCGTCTGACTCCTGTGTCTGCGTGGGAGGTTCTGCCCACTCCTAGGACTCCTGTGTCTCTGTGGGAGGTTCTGCCCACTCCTGTTTCCTGGTTGGAGGTCCTGCCCACTCTCGTGTCTCCATGGGAGGCCCCGCCCACTCCCGTGTCTCTGTGGGAGGTCCTGCCAACTCCTGTTTCGTCCTCAGAGGCCCTGGTGACTTATGCCCCCTCGTCAGAGGCCCTGGTGACTCCTGCCCCCTCGTCAGAGGCCCTGGTGACTCCTGCCCCCTCCTCAGAGGCCCTGGTGACTTATGCCCCCTCGTCAGAGGCCCTGCTGACTTATGCCCCCTCGTCAGAGGCCCTGCTGACTCCTGCCCTCGTCAGAGGCCCTGCTGACTCCTGGTCCCTCGTCAGAGGCCCTGCTGACTCTGTGTTTCCGTGGGAGGTCTGGCCTCTCACTGGTCCCGTGGGTTCATCTAGTCGGCCTTCCGGCCGCCCACCCAAACTGCTCCCTGGGTTTGGTCGGCCTCCTGGCCGTCCGCCTGAAGGTCCGGAGTTGTTATTATCTTTTTTTATTATCTATTGTTGTTATCTTTATGGTTTGTGTGTAATGTTGTCTGTTAGTCTGTCCTTACTGTGCTGTTCTTTCTGTTTTTAACTATTGTACAGCGCTTATAAATAACATTTATTATTATGTATGTGTGTAAATAATGCTGTTATGAGATATGAAACACAACCAGTAGTCAATGTACAAGCTGCCAATTGAATGGTAAATCTAAGCTACTCTATAAATGGGTTCATTTATTTATGCATCTGACTCTGAAAAAGTCCTCACCGCACATCACTGAGTAGTAGTCGTAGTATTGCCCTGCAGGAAGTGAAAAATTAAGATTGTATTTGTGTACATTAACTTTATTTGAAGATGGCGAAATTAGAAAGAAAACTAAGAATTTGATTTCCTTTGTAGCACTGCAGCGTTGCTTGCGATACATCCAAAAGTTCTTTTGCGCGCCATCTGATGAAATTTACCTTTCAGGAAGATTTCCTTCTGAAAGGTGAATATTAAAATATCACATTTCATTTTTGGGTTAATTAAGTTACTTGTTGAGCACGTGTTTGTCATATTTAACCGTTGTCTCTTTTCTCCTTAGATGTAAACTGTCATGTAAAAAGGTAAATATCAGATTTCATGTTTTGATTTCTGTTACCGAGGTTACGGATATATTGTAACTTCATTTTTTTCTTCTCTTTACGACATCAAATATATTTACCAAAAGTTCTCATAATTATGAACTGGCAACACATGACTACTCCCACGTTTTCAGTCATCCAATGTGGCTTTTAAACTTAGAATCATACATTGTATATACCCCTGAGTGATTTGCATGTAGCGCTTTGTTTTCTGTTCTCTGAACATGAACTACTCGGTCAAGTCCCTGCTCTCACCAAACATGATCAAAGCTGTGATACAAGAAAGAAAATGGTGGTAAAGATGTAACCATGCCCACTTGAGAAAAGATTTAAATTATTTTATTGGTCTTAGAAATGAATGAAGGTAAAAAAAAAAGATGTGTTCTCTGTTTTCGTAGAGGGTTAAACTACAACATTATTTCAAAAGAACCTGAAGACATCTCAACTCTGAACCAACCAGCCCTTTGGAAATAAAAACATTAAAAAAAACATTTATAAGAAAGATAAAATGAAGAAGCTCTGATATAAATGTGTCGAGTTCCAAACCATGCAATGATATTAATCACTCTTTGTTTTATATGATATGTACTCGTGAAGTGAAATCCTGTAAAAAGTTAAAATGACACTTTTCATTTAATAAGCAAGGTTAAATTCTGTAAAAAACAAACAAACATAGCAGCTGTTTCAAAGTTACAACTTTACACCTACTTGTAATAATTTGGATGTACATTATTTTTTCTACAGTAAGAAGGCAATTTTAAAAAGACATATATTAAAATCTATCGATATTGCTGTATTGAAGATGCCTTAAATCTGCTGCTTGAATTCTCTCACTCAATCCCGTTAGGGCGGCCCTAAAATGATGCTTATACACAGTCGAGTACAAAGTATCCAGAATCCAGCTGGCAGACAGGCAGTGGTGTGGCCCTAAACGTTCCCTCTGTCATCAGAAAACAAAAAACAGAGAACAAGTTCAAGAGTAACGGAGCCTACAGGACCGAAGGCTTCCACAACACCACGCTTTGAAAATGAAATAAGAAAGAAGACGCTGTAATACTTGATGTCTGAATGTTACTCTTAAAAAGAAACCTGGCAGCATTTTGAAAAGTCTGTGTGTGGGGGGGGGCTTCTTTCACAGCAGGACCAGGTCTCATGGTGCTCACAGTCTCATGCATTCGACTCTTCATCTGTTACACTGTTGTTGGGTGAATTTGAAATCTCTTTGAAGAATTCGTCGTCTTTCAGCATGCTCTGATGGAAAATACAGAAACAAACGATGTTAACCTCATGAAAACAACAGAGTTACTAAAGAGTTCAAATCTGTGTTATGGTAGCATGTGGTCAGCCGTAAAGTCTTTGTGATGTTTTGATCCAGCAGATGTCGCCCTTGAGCACCAGCATGAAACCAAAACAACTGCGCTGCATTGTTGTGTTAGCATGCTAATGCTAGCGATCTTTATTATGCTGGTATCTTCACACTGCATGTAAATTTACCTGAAATGAGCGTGATCTAGAAACACAGTTAAGCAGTGAGTACAGTATGTTATTCTTCTTTTCTCTAGTCCCTCAATTAAACAACTTTTATACACGAGGGGAGGAGTCAGCCGGCCGTCCTGGCGATGTAAACAAAGTGAAGATAGGACTCTGAAAACTCTGAAAACATCACAGACAGTGGGACTCGGGTGTTACACCCATTGTAGACAGTCATGACTCACAGAGTTATTTTCAGAGGAGATACTTGATTTATATTTAAGTGTGAAACATCACATACAGCTGTAAGAAAAAGTATGTGAACTCTTTGGAATTTCTTCATTTTCTGATTAAATTGGTCATAAAATGTGTTCTGATCTTCATCTAAGTCTCAACAATAGACAAACACAGTCTGCTTAAACTAAAACCACACAAACAATTATAAGTTTTCATGTTTTTGTTGAACACAAACATTCACATTGTAAACATTCACATTGCAGGGTGGAAAAAGTATGTGAGCCCCTAGGCTAATGACTTCTCACAGAGCTCATTGGAGTCAGGAGTCAGCCAACCTGGAGTCCAATCTATGAGACGAGATTGGAGGATTCCACCAATTTATGCAGAAAACTAGGAAATTCCAAAGGGTTCACATACTTTTTCTTGCAACTGTTTTTCTGGTTTCGATATTATTGATGATGATGATGGTAATGACGATGGTTTTTGTTTGATAAGGACGACTTATAAGATGGTTTCTATACTGATTAGAGCTCTCAAGAACTGCCCTCAATGTTGTGCTTTGCCTCTGGTCACTTCCTGTCAGCACCTGTGTGTCCAATCAGACTCAAAGCTGATCGTTTGCTCTTACTCACATTGTTCCCTTTTTTCTAGATCCTTGCTTGTGTTGTTCTTACTCTCTGATGTACGTCGCTTTGGAGAAAAGAGTCTGAGAGAATTGTAGAAGTGTAGAAGTGTATAAAGCCTTTAAGATTCTTACCGTCAGGTTTTGAATTCCCTCAGAGAAAGCTCCAATCTGTCTCACAGTTCCTTCAGAGTCGTCCATCTGTGACACAAGTTACATCTTTAAAAGTCACAATCGATATAGAAACTGACCACAGACCAGTTACTTCAGAGTGAAAAAGTCACCTGCCAAGCAACACTGATGGAGTGTGAACGAGTAAGAAAATATAATCAAACAATTTATCTTCACATGATGCAAATAAAACATTATTAGTAAAAGTTGATCATCTGTCCGTAACACAGTCTTCAGGCAAATATTAATCACTAAATTACAGACCGCAGTCCAAATCTGGACCCAGGCTTATTTTGATGAGCGATTCGGTTCACACAGTGCAGCATTTATTGCGTTCACGGTCGTCCAAATTAAAATGGCGCCGCCTGTCTCGCCTTTACAACAATTTCAGCGGTATAAAACTGGAGCCAGGAAGGTCACAGACCAAAGCATTTGTCCTGAAATAGTTTAATTCACTGAGATTTATCATTAAATTAGTTTTGAAAATGAGTGGCTAATATTAGAAAATGGGAAAAATGGGAAAAATGGGAAACACTTTATTATCATTTACACGTACTAACATTTATACACCTCGGCTCCTTTAAAACATGGCAGCGAATCACATCACAGGTTAGACATTATGATGTTTCAGACCCTTCTTTTAGAGGATGGTATCAATACATCGTCGATACATTATCACAGTGGCTCCAGCTAAATATTTCATTTATCACATCAAGAGAACAAGGGGAGTTGATCCAGACTGTGATGGACACATCCACACAACGCTCACAAGCTAAAGCTCATGTTTTATTTACAGTTATTTAACAAGCATGACACATTCTGTTTGTTTATTAGAACTTATGACTGAAGTTAGTTAGTTAGCTTCCTTAGTGTTACCGCTTAGTTATTTTGTGTGTAGTCCTCACCTGTGTGCTCATTTTAGTAATAATAATAATAATAATAATAATAACAGACTTTATTTGGCATGGACATCACAGATACATTGGACGAACCAGATGCATTGTTTAAGCGTTTTAGCAACCATGCTAGTTCTCAACACGTGTCCACAGTAGGCTTTAGAAAGGAAAACAATACAGTTTGGTAAGCTGGTTTGAATATCTGCCTCAGTTCTCTTTTTGTTAGGTCTGTTAGTTAAGTTCATTTTGTCCTCTACTTGTATATTGTAGATTTTGAACTTTGAACCTGTGATTCTCTTGTGTTGCTCTGTCCACAACACAGACCCGCAAAAAATTAGCCGACCAATGAGATGAATGCATGGATCTAGTGCAAAAGATCAAAAACATGCTGCTCTGTCATCGATTCCTGCAGACAGAGATGGACGGCAGAGGAATAAGAAATAAACAGACACAATGATAGCACTTTATTACTGTTCTGTTGTGCAGACGGCCGAGTGCTTTCCTTTTGTGGAGCTTTGAAACGCCTGGTTCTAATTTAATTTGCATCCTGGTATTCTCTTTTCACAGTCTTGTTCTCATCTAGTGTAAAGATATGTGTTGAGCACTAGAAGCTCTTCAGTCATACCCAAGTGACCATCTTGAAGAACTCTCACTAGTTTATCAACTGCTGGGATTTATTTTCTCACCGTAGCATCCCTACTCACAAACTATTATTCAACACAAATTCTAAAAGAACTAACTGACCTGGTCTAGCCTGTCGAGGTCGTCCTCGTAGATCTGGAGCTCAAAGCCTTTCTGGAAACTTCGTCCTTTAGGCATCTCCACATCCATCGGACACACGTACTCTTCACTCTCCTCCTGCTTCTTCTTTCTCAGACTGCCAAAGTTACCAAACGACAGTTTCCTCGGCTGGGTTGTCGAGCAGAGGGAAGACAAAGAAAACGTTTATATATTCATTCCATAGGCTAAACTTTGATACACAGACATTAGTGCACTAGTATTTTTATTTATTTTTTATTTAACCAGGTTGGTCCCATTGAGATTAAAAACCTCTTTTTCAAGGGAGACCTGGTCGAGACAGGCAGCAGCAAAAACACAAAGTTACAGACGGAAACACAAAGAGAGACAAAGTACAATTTACAAAACACAACATTTAGATTAAAATAGAACCATCTATGAGTCTTATCTGAGAATCAGTTGTTCAAACAGCCGAGCTAAAACATCCACATCCTATAGAATCTGCTAGTAGTTAGGTGTCTTCAATGTTGTGCAGATCTAGTACTAGCATTACTAAGTTTGTCATCATAAACTGGTGTGTTTACCTTGACTTTAGTGGTGGCAGTAAGAAGAGTGTAGTCTGGGTTTTCAAGACACTCTTGTTTGAGCTGCTGAGCCTCTGATCCAATGAGCAGGTTGTAATGTGTGGCCAAGTGGCGACGCAGCAGCGTCTTGTTTGGGGGGATGTTGAGCAGCAAAGCCATGGTCTCCACGTTAAACCGAGGCTCCAGAACCTTGAAGACAGAAGAGATGTGTTTCTGACTGAACACATTCAGGAGAAAATCAGTTTCTCAGAAAGACTGAAAGCCAGGCTACAGTACCATCAGGCCACCGTGCACACCACTGCCTCTCAGGTTGGGAGCGTACTCAGCCAGATCCACAGAACGCAGCCACTCCATCACCCTGTGGTTGGTCCACTGCGAGATCTCTGCTGGAGAAATATTGTTCTGTGTGCACAAAGACAAGATGAGAAAATGTGTTCCTGTGCACGCTCTGTCAGATCACATATCACGACTGCTGCAGTGAACGCACCTCGTCAGACGGCCTGCGACGTAAGCAGTTGGGCTGGTAGCTGTTGAGGCGAAGCACTTGGATAGCTCTCTTAATACTGAGGTGATGCAGGACACTCCCTACTTTCAGAGAAAGCAGGTCATCCTAAGGACAATGAAATGAAGTGATTACTAAGTGCAACACTCCAAAAGAAATCACAATTTACACTTGGCAGTTGTATACCTAAGCCAACCCGTCAACTTGCATTAACATGTCAACCTCATGCTGGAATGGGATGCAGCGGAGATATTTGTAAATCAAACAAGAACCCAGTCAGTCAGTCACATAGACATCTGTGACACATTTAAAGAAATTCCCTGCAGCTGGTCCTCTGATATTACGTTCTAAACAAGGAATGAGGTTCAAAAAGTGCAACTTAGAGACAGATTGATATCATGTGACAGTTTTATATAAAAAAGATCAAAAATAAGCTTAGAAATAAGCTCGTCTCGGGACCACAAAACTCATTTGTATTCATATTTTTTGGGTCTTTTTTTTTAACTTTTATTCACCAAAACGTGCACACACACACTCACACAATAAAAAAAAAAGAGATACAAACAAGAGGGGAACTTTGGTACGATACAGTTTTGCAAGCAGATTTAGACAGAAACAAACAAACAAACAAACAAACAAACAAAAGGAAAAGGGTCAGTAAATAACACACCAGAAAATGGTAGAAAAAAAAAATACATATTTGTACCTGACAAGTTTTTACAGTTACAGTTTTACAGTTAAAAAAAAAAGAGGTATACTCCCAATTCCCATGCACAGCATCGACAGCTTCAACAGAGAAAGATGTGGTGGTAGGGACTCTAGGTCTGTCACCAACATTGAGTAAATACCTAAGAGAGGTCTATCCCGTGGAGCTCATTAGACTGTCCATGCAATTATTCTGATGTGAGATGGCACTGGACTCATCAGACTCCTAAGTCCTACTTATCCCGGGGATCAGAGGAAGGAGCGCATGTGTCAACACTCACCACTGTCATGTAGTGCAGCATGCGACCATCCACCCTCCCCTCGTCAAATTGGGTTTTATACTGAGGCAGACCGATGTCATCCAGCCATCCTGAGAGAAATGGAAAAGGACAAAGTGTCATGAGAAGTACTTCATGCTAGCAGTCACTTAAGTTCAAAGCTGGCATCCCATTTTCTTTGAGCAACAGAAGCGTTTATATCTCGGATCTCGTCTTAAACTGGAAGGCAGTACTCACTCGTAACCCAGTTGAAGTCCAGCTTTCCCTTATTGTCTTCCTCCTCTGAGCCGAGGGCCTGAAGGGCCAGCTGCAGCTTCTTTCTGTGCAGTGGGTGTTTGATGCCCAGCTCCTAGAAGACATTTAAAGAATTACTCACACACACAAAACATTCCCTGCAGTTCTAAAAACAAGAACACTTTGTCCGTCTAGTCTGCTCTGATTAACATATTCAATTCTTCCACTTCACCTCACCCTCTCTAGGTCCTGCTGTGAGGCCTGTAAAAGCGTCTGACCGGAGCGGATCCATACACGAGCCATGTTCACATAAAGGCCGAGACCCTGGTCCTGCAGCCAGTCACAAACTTGATCCTTTGACCAGCGTGCAAAGGGTGCATCGACATCACTAAAAAAAAGGAGAACAATATAAGAGCCATATTCATGTTTTTGGGTCAAGCTGGAAATCATTTTCACTATTGTGCCACTGGGTGTCACTGTCCTATTGTTTAAGTCACAGGTATATATGTACGTCACTTTTCAAGGTACGGGAGGTGTTTGACCCCGGAAGGGCTCATGGTTTTTGACCGCTGAGGCGGCAGGCGGCATGGAGAAACCGCAGCTGTATTGTTTGTTTGTTTGTTTGTTTGTTTTGTTCAAATGAATGGAAACTGATGGACGCTGTATTCACTTCATGGTGCTGCAATAAACAGATTGCATTATGCTGCAAACCAAAGACACGCCTGCAGAAATCTTATTGATCAACAAACAGCAAACGGTATCGTATTGACCTACGACAGTACAGCGCGTCAGCCAGGTCACTCGGCACATCGGCAGCTTTAGTACTGGACTAAGCTTCTATAAACAATACTAGTCAAAACTTCAAAAAAAAAAAAGTTATGAGGAAAAAAACAAATCCTTTCAAGAGCTTGAATTTCATTGAACATCAGAAATGAAAAACACAGAAACCAGAGTCTTAGTTTTCTTGCCAAATGCACCGACTTACTTGTTGGCTCGTTGGAGATCACGAGACCAACCCAGTCGAGGTCCAGCTGTGGCTCGCACTCCACCTCTTTTGAACTCCCCCTCTGGTAGGTTATCATCAAGGTCGAATGTTGTAGACTGACTCCTTTTGAGCCTAAATAAATATAACATTTGATTTTTTAAATATCTTTCCAAACTTGCAAAACATGTCTCTTGTGATAAATGACTGACAGTGTTAAAGAGAGTTTATTAAATTAATAGATATCCTATTTTCAGTAATCTCGGGTAAAGATTCTCACGCTGTTGTGTACTTACTTTCCAAAGAGTTTCTTTATCCCTTTGGATTTTTTCCTGCCCTCTGGGGTCGTAGGGAGCGTGTGGGTGCTGTCGCTGTTCGCAGACCTCTGTGGAAGCCCAGCGAGGTCCAAATGATCGGTGCCCTGTTGCTCTGTTTCCGCTGTACAAACAAAATGCCCACAGAAACTCATCAGCATCATAAGCATCACTCTAGCACATGTGCCCAGATCGGAGAAGACAGATGTTCCGCACAGGGCCGGTGTAGTGACCAGGACCATGACACACTCACAGGTCATGGTTGTGGGCATTGAAGCCAATACCCTCTTTTAGTATGCATGCATCACACTGCTGATATCAAAAGGAGGAATAAAATAGTTTTATTTAGTAGATAAAAAACGACTTCATTACTTAGATTTTTAGTGGAATGCTTTCCGGATCCAGAATGATTGTATTTGATAGTCTGGATCTTGACACAGATTTTATAAAAAAGGAAAGTGAAAGTAAATACATGCAGGGGACGATAACAAATCAACACACACAACAGACCGGCTGTTTGTTGGACAGTATGTTGCATTTGTAGATAGAGACAAGGGAGTGGTTGTTCAAGCACTGCATCTACTGAAATGTGATGTGGTTAAAAAAAAGATGTGAGCTGATTGGATGAGTGCAGATAAAGGCAGAGGTGAATGATCAAAGATAAGTTTAGTTTTAGTGTGCGCTGTTTTCTTCAGAGAAATCCTGCAGCCTCTACAATGACCTGTAGTCTATACTGTACCTAACGTAGGCGCACTTGCACTCCTGCTGCGGTCTTCATGTGTTTACAAAGTGCACACAACACACGACAGGGTCCAACAGAAAAACAACAAACAAACACAAGACAAAGGGCAGAAAATGATGATTGAAATAACAACAAGGATTTGAGAGGTGGAACAAACACAGACACTCGTGTGTACAGTACACACAAAACAGCACATACGCAGAAATGAAGGGCACACAACAGCACAGAGCAGACTTCCATAATTAAATGGGGACTGAAGTTTATGTGGGCTGCAAATTAAGGTGTTGGTCCATGTGGTCTCACGGGTGTGGCTTTAGAAAAAGAAACAAAACATGGTGGAAGGAAACAAAAAACTCCTGGAAAATCTCACTTTCTTCTTACCAGACAAACAATTTCATGGCTAGAATAATGTAAAAAAAAAAGACTTCAGCAGCTTGTAGACTTGTCCTGTTTCAGCTGCTGACTCATGTGGTCTCGTTCTTACCTAGGTTGGGGGTGCTGGCTGTTTTTTTGCCCCCGCGAATCTTGAAAAAGCCTTTCCCGAAAGAAGAGCGCGCCTTCCTCGAGCCGAAGCTGTCGTCCTGCGTGTTGGCAGGCAGGGTGGCAGAGGGACTCATGGGAGGCTTTTCACTCCTCTTACTCATCTCTTCACTTGTGTTCTGAGAGGACAACAAATACACTACATTACTTTACAGCTTTCAAGGCTTTTCTGTTTTCTGCAAATAATGTCAGCACGTAGCCGTGCCTCATGGACGACCTTGGAGGGGCAGACTTTCCTGGACGTCCATTGGTAACCTTTGTTTACTGTATCACGTTCTTCTCCTTTAGCACTGTTTCCAGCTAGCAGTCCACAGTGGTACAGTTCAGTACGGTAAATCCTGAACTTGCTTGCGTTTCCACAGCCGACCATACCATACTCATTTGGTAAGTGGAGTGTAAGCCAGATGGAGATAGGTAACAATGTGACATCACAGCAGCCCAACACAGAGTAGCCAGCTATTAATTCAGTTACACGTTCAAGAAGAAGAAGAGGGACACAGTAAACAAAAGGGACCCTTTAGGATCAGATCGGTATCCTTGGCACCCCAACAGAAGGGTACCTAGAAAGTAGGATGGTACTGTTCCCTTATTTTGGTACCATTCCAAACTTTTGAGCTTTGAGCTTCTGCCTTCAGGAGATACAGATTGTCAAAAGCAAAGTCCAACAGGTTAAAAAAATATTTGATTACTCAGGCCATCAAGCTTCTGAACTCCAATGACGACCCTGATGACTGATGATGTTTTTTTAATTCTGGTTTTATGGATGTTTTTTTTATACATTCTCAGTCTCCTGTTGTTACTTGATGAACTCCTGTATTTCTGTATTTAATGCCTCTCACGGTGTCTGTTGTTTCTATTGTCTGATTCTATGTGGTTGTTGATTTTTTTCTTCCATAGTTGTTCTCACCTGGCTGCGAAACAAATTTCCCCTCGGGGACAATAAAGTCAAGTTGAAGTTGAAAGTTGAACTTTTGACGGTGGAAACACCAATAAATGGGTACCGTACTGAACTGAACTGAAAAGGACCGCTTGGTGGAAATGAGGCTCAAGCTATTTAGAGATGTAGCAGCAAGTGTTACTGTATGTTCAGTCATGTTGTACTTGTAGTACTGGCAAGCCAAGTCTTAAACTTAGAACGTCAAAACCAACATTTTCTGAAGATTGCTGTGAGGAAAGGACACAACATGTGGGACCTTTAAAAGGTTATTTACACGACTGTGTATTTAAATGTTTTGTTATTATTGGGTCTGCCTTGTGTTCTTTGTGTTGTCTGAACTCTCTGAACTGTGCTGCAGGTGATTGGGGAAACGCTGACGGTGTGTGCCGGCCTCTGATTGGAGGGAAGCTAGTGCTGCGTGCAGGGAGGATCCCTGATGGCGCCCGATTCAAAAAGAGAGCAGTAGAAGCTGACCACCCTCCTTCTTTCACCTTTACCTCCAAAGAGAGACGTGTTCCCTTTTGAAATTGTTTGCTAAATTGAGATTAATCTTTATTTTGTTGTTGGGGGGAGAGTAGCCTTCTCTTTTGATGAATCTTTTCTCCTGTTTTTTCCTGTTAGGGAGTTCGGCAAGAAGCTTGAATTTTCTTTTATTTACTTTTTTTGAGGTAAGGTAGTTATGGATTTCACTTAGTAGATGTTCTGTTTAAATTGTGGTTTATCATTGTGAGGAAGGAGAGGGTCACTTTTAGTGCTACGGCTGGTTTCCCTGAGGCTGCTCGTAACAACAACTCAAAGACTTATGAGAAAGATCGTCTGGGGCGTATGAGGAGAGAAAGGTTTTTTAGTCTGTATTAAAGTTCACTATACCTTCATGTATTAAAGTTCACTATACCTTCATGTATTAATGTTCACTATACCTTCATGTATTAAAGTTCACTATACCTTCATGTATTAAAGTTCACTATACCTTCATGTATTAATGTTCACTATACCTTCATGTATTAATGTTCACTATACCTTCATGTATTAATGTTCACTATACCTTCATGTATTAATGTTCACTATACCTTCATGTATTAATGTTCACTATACCTTCATGTATTAATGTTCACTATACCTTCATGTATTAATGTTCACTATACCTTCATGTATTAAAGTTCACTATACCTTCATGTATTAAAGTTCACTATACCTTCATGTATTAATGTTCACTATACCTTCATGTATTAATGTTCACTATACCTTCATGTATTAATGTTCACTATACCTTCATGTATTAAAGTTCACTATACCTTCATGTATTAATGTTCACTATACCTTCATGTATTAATGTTCACTATACCTTCATGTATTAATGTTCACTATACCTTCATGTATTAATGTTCACTATACCTTCATGTATTAATGTTCACTATACCTTCATGTATTAATGTTCACTATACCTTCATGTATTAATGTTCACTATACCTTCATGTATTAAAGTTCACTATACCTTTATGTATTAATGTTCACTATACCTTCATGTATTAAAGTTCACTATACCTTTCATGTATTAATGTTCACTATACCTTCATGTATTAATGTTCACTATACCTTCATGTATTAAAGTTCACTATACCTTCATGTATTAATGTTCACTATACCTTCATGTATTAATGTTCACTATACCTTCATGTATTAATGTTCACTATACCTTCATGTATTAATGTTCACTATACCTTCATGTATTAATGTTCACTATACCTTCATGTATTAAAGTTCACTATACCTTCATGTATTAAAGTTCACTTCCTCATAAAGTCCTTCCACACATACGTGTTGCTCTTACCTTTTCAACGCTGCTCCAATCCATCTGGTCTTGGTTGTCAGTCTTTGTGGTGTCATGGCTTCTGTAATGACAAATGAAATCTCGTCACTCATGATATTGTGGTGGAAACTGATTAAAGTGATCCTGAGAAACAACAGTGAGCGTCTGTTAAACTTCCATCGGGGCGACTGAGGCACTTCCTCATCATCTTTTTGAAACAACAAAGGGAAGAAAATAAACTGGACTTAAAGGCTTTCTATGTGATGTTTTGATCCAGCAGATGTCGCCCTTGAGCACCAGCATGAAACCAAAACAACTCTCGCTGCATTGTTGTGTTAGCATGCTAATGCTAGCGATCTTTATTATGCTGGTATCTTCACACTGCATGTAAATTTACCTGAAATGAGCGTGATCTAGAAACACAGTTAAGCAGTGAGTACAGTATGTTATTCTTCTTTTCTCTAGTCCCTCAATTAAACAACTTTTATACACGAGGGGAGGAGTCAGCCGGCCGTCCGGGCGATGTAAACAAAGTGAAGATAGGACTCTGAAAACTCTGAAAACATCACAGACAGTGGGACTCGGGTGTTACACCCATTGTAGACAGTCATGACTCACAGAGTTATTTTCAGAGGAGATACTTGATTTACATTTAAGTGTGAAAAATTACATTTAAAGACTTTAAGATCAATATCTTCAAATAAGTTACTCTGCAAGTAGAACAAAAAAATGCAGTTACCTGTACAACTGTCATTATTGCACAGTTACCGTACGATGTAGGCGCATGACCACATCACTCCTGTTTTAGCATCTCTACACTGGCTCCCTGTGTGTGTTTTAGAATTGATTTTAAGATTTGACTGATTACTTTTAAAGCTCTCCATGGACCCCAGCTGTTTATCAGACCTTTTACTACCTTACAAACCCACGCAGCACATTGAGATCCTCGGGCAGAGGTTCTCCTGGTGGTTGCAAATGTAAAATTAAAAACTAAAGGGGATAGAGCATAAACTGAGGTCTCCAAGACTCTGGAAAGACCTGCCCGAGGAGATCAGGTCGGCAGAATCACTCATCTCTTTTAAATCCCTTCTTAAGACACTTTTTCAGGCGAGCCTTTCCTGATTTTAAATTGTTACTATTTTCACTTCACAGAATTCTTTTAAAAGAATTTTATGTATTTTACAGTTCTTTTAATTTATATCTTAAAGTGATTTTTATTCCTTAATCTTGCCTTGTTTATTATTCTATGACCTGATTTTATATTTGCTGTCCTTTTAAAGCACTTTGTAACTTGTTTTTGAAAGGTGCTCTATAAATAAAGATTATTATTATTCTTACTTTGCTGAACATAATGGAAATCACCGCACAGGAAGACAGTTGAAATCTGTTTTCTCTCTGTGAGGCTTCCACAAACAGAATGCATCCTGCAGTCTAAACAAATGACCACATATGTAAAAAAAAAAACAACAACTCAAAAACATCCTGAGTTCAGAAAGAGACACCATTGTATTGATTTTCTGTGATAGGATTCTATAAACGTGTTTTAGCACCATGTGTTGTAAATGACTATGTGAACATGCCCGTCAACGTCAGCGGCTGTAGTGAGAAGCCTTAGGATATAACAGTCACTCTGAAATGAGCAGCAACACAAAAGATGATAAAGACGACAAATATCAGAATCTGCTCAAAAGAAAAGACAACATCTGCTAAATTCTAAACTGAACTTTACTATTTAAAAAAAAATGTCTGTGTGGGGCGCACTGGTGGTGCAATGGTTAGGGGGCGTCCCATGTGTTGAGACTCTCGTCTCGAGCGGTAGACCCGGCTCGCTTCCACCCGTGGCCCCTTTCTGCATGTCGTTCCCCTCTCTCTCTCTGGTTTCTGACTCTATCCACTGTCCTCTCTCTCTCTCTGGTTTCTGACTCTATCCACTGTCCTCTCTCTCTCTGGTTTCAGACTCTATCCACTGTCCTCTCTCTCTCTGGTTTCAGACTCTATCCACTGTCCTCTCTCTCTCTGGTTTCAGACTCTATCCACTGTCCTCTCTCTCTCTGGTTTCGACTCTATCCACTGTCTCTCTCTCTCTCTGGTTTCAGACTCTATCCACTGTCCTCTCTCTCTCTCTGGTTTCTGACTCTATCCACTGTCCTCTCTCTCTCTCTCTGGTTTCTGACTCTATCCACTGTCCTCTCTCTCTCTCTGGTTTCAGACTCTATCCACTGTCCTCTCTCTCTCTCTGGTTTCAGACTCTATCCACTGTCCTCTCTCTCTCTGGTTTCTGACTCTATCCACTGTCCTCTCTCTCTCTGGTTTCTGACTCTATCCACTGTCCTCTCTCTCTGGTTTCAGACTCTATCCACTGTCCTCTCTCTCTCTGGTTCTGACTCTATCCACTGTCCTCTCTCTCTCTCTGGTTTCAGACTCTATCCACTGTCCTCTCTCTCTCTCTGGTTTCAGACTCTATCCACTGTCTCTCTCTCTCTCTCTGGTTTCTGACTCTATCCACTGTCCTCTCTCTCTCTGGTTTCAGACTCTATCCACTGTCCTCTCTCTCTCTCTGGTTTCAGACTCTATCCACTGTCCTCTCTCTCTCTGGTTTCTGACTCTATCCACTGTCTCTCTCTCTCTCTCTGGTTTCTGACTCTATCCACTGTCCTCTCTCTCTCTCTGGTTTCAGACTCTATCCACTGTCCCTCTCTCTCTCTGGTTTCGACTCTATCCACTGTCCTCTCTCTCTCTGGTTTCTGACTCTATCCACTGTCCTCTCTCTCTCTGGTTTCAGACTCTATCCACTGTCCTCTCTCTCTCTCTGGTTTCTGACTCTATCCACTGTCCTCTCTCTCTCTGGTTTCAGACTCTATCCACTGTCCTCTCTCTCTCTGGTTTCAGACTCTATCCACTGTCCTCTCTCTCTCTGGTTTCTGACTCTATCCACTGTCCTCTCTCTCTCTCTGGTTTCAGACTCTATCCACTGTCCTCTCTCTCTGGTTTCAGACTCTATCCACTGTCCTCTCTCTCTCTGGTTTCAGACTCTATCCACTGTCCTCTCTCTCTCTCTGGTTTCAGACTCTATCCACTGTCCTCTCTCTCTCTCTGGTTTCAGACTCTATCCACTGTCCTCTCTCTCTCTCTGGTTTCAGACTCTATCCACTGTCCTCTCTCTCTCTGGTTTCTGACTCTATCCACTGTCCTCTCTCTCTCTCTGGTTTCAGACTCTATCCACTGTCCTCTCTCTCTCTGGTTTCTGACTCTATCCACTGTCCTCTCTCTCTCTCTGGTTTCTGACTCTATCCACTGTCCTCTCTCTCTCTGGTTTCAGACTCTATCCACTGTCTCTCTCTCTCTCTGGTTTCAGACTCTATCCACTGTCCTCTCTCTCTCTGGTTTCTGACTCTATCCACTGTCCTCTCTCTCTCTCTGGTTTCTGACTCTATCCACTGTCTCTCTCTCTCTGGTTTCAGACTCTATCCACTGTCCTCTCTCTCTCTGGTTTCTGACTCTATCCACTGTCCTCTCTCTCTGGTTTCAGACTCTATCCACTGTCCTCTCTCTCTCTGGTTTCAGACTCTATCCACTGTCCTCTCTCTCTCTCTGGTTTCAGACTCTATCCACTGTCCTCTCTCTCTCTGGTTTCAGACTCTATCCACTGTCTCTCTCTCTCTGGTTTCTGACTCTATCCACTGTCCTCTCTCTCTCTGGTTTCAGACTCTATCCACTGTCCTCTCTCTCTCTGGTTTCTGACTCTATCCACTGTCCTCTCTCTCTCTGGTTTCAGACTCTATCCACTGTCTCTCTCTCTCTCTCTCTGGTTTCTGACTCTATCCACTGTCCTCTCTCTCTCTCTGGTTTCTGACTCTATCCACTGTCCTCTCTCTCTCTGGTTTCAGACTCTATCCACTGTCCTCTCTCTCTCTCTGGTTTCAGACTCTATCCACTGTCCTCTCTCTCTCTGGTTTCAGACTCTATCCACTGTCCTCTCTCTCTCTGGTTTCTGACTCTATCCACTGTCCTCTCTCTCTCTGGTTTCAGACTCTATCCACTGTCCTCTCTCTCTCTCTGGTTTCTGACTCTATCCACTGTCCTCTCTCTCTCTCTGGTTTCTGACTCTATCCACTGTCCTCTCTCTCTCTCTGGTTTCTGACTCTATCCACTGTCCTCTCTCTCTCTCTGGTTTCTGACTCTATCCACTGTCCTCTCTCTCTCTCTGGTTTCTGACTCTATCCACTGTCTCTCTCTCTCTGGTTTCAGACTCTATCCACTGTCCTCTCTTCTCTGGTTTCTGACTCTATCCACTGTCCTCTCTCTCCTGGTTTCAGACTCTATCCACTGTCTCTCTCTCTCTCTGGTTTCTGACTCTATCCACTGTCCTCTCTCTCTCTCTGTTTCAGACTCTATCCACTGTCCTCTCTCTCTCTGGTTTCTGACTCTATCCACTGTCCTCTCTCTCTCTCTGGTTTCAGACTCTATCCACTCCTCTCTCTCTCTCTGGTTCTGACTCTATCCACTGTCCTCTCTCTCTCTGGTTTCAGACTCTATCCACTGTCTCTCTCTCTCTCTGGTTTCTGACTCTATCCACTGTCCCTCTCTCTCTCTGGTTTCAGACTCTATCCACTGTCCTC